CAGAGAAAACGGGGGGCTGGATGGGATGCCTTTGAGAGCGGGCTGTGAAGAACAGGAGAAGTAAGTGGAAAGGAGTCGTGAATGTTAAAGAAAGCTCGCTACTGAATGGGCTATTACATGCCTCTCTGAGGAGCACTCTGCCTGCAATATGGAGAAAAAACATGGTGTGATAAAAATTTTAATATATTGTGACAAAATTACACTATTACACTGGAGCTCACATTTTCCTCAATGCATCTTTTGTCAGACCCTCCCTGTCTGAAGTTAAATCTACACCGTTTAGCCACACTGTACCTACATAATTGTTACAGTACCCCACAAAATCAATTGTGATCGTGAAACAATATTACATGTCATTTGTTAGACGCTTTTATCCAAAGCGACTAACATACATTCAGTACTGTGGACAATCCCCACAGGAGCAATTTGGGGTGAAGTGTCTCAGGGACATAACGACATGTTGACTGCAGTGGGACTTGAACTTGCTACCCCCTGTTTCAAAGTCCAGCACTCTATCCACTGAGCCACAGCCGCCACAATATGAAGTAAAAAGGCAAAAAAGTCCATGTAAGTAGACGTTATGGATCGATGGATGGGTCCTAAAAAATTGGACTTTGACCAAATGTGAAGAAGAGTCAATGTTGTTTTTTTGGTCATGAAACATCCGTTGTCCCGTAATGCAATGCAGGCCTTTTGATAGAGTCTCCAACCGAACCTCTGCATTGATAACTCTGACATTTTACTTGTTCTTTTTTCCATGCTCTTGAATGTCCCTTAAGAGACATAGAGGAAATTGAACAATCATTAAATTAAATTGCTCCTTGTGACAATTGTCCCTTAAGCAACATATTTGAAGTGAACTTGTCTAGTCTACATCACATTTAACAACAATACAAATGTGGGGGGAAGAAAAGGCCAGAGAATAAAACTGTACTCTTTAGTTTTATTTAAGAGGAAGATATGTTCTAATTACTTCAGCCATGTGACACTATCAACGTTTCCCTGTATGTTCTGCACACACTGAAAATATAAAGTCACAAAACAGCCATTCCTGGGATTTTAATTCTTCTCCTCAGACCCTGATGGAGTTTCATCCATAACATCTGCTCCCTGGTCTGCTTCTTTCTGGTCTAGCTGCCAGTGAGGATCAACTTTGAAGATGCACACATTGCTATGGCAACAGTGCAAGTCTCCCAAAATTGATTTTTAACACCAGATCTGATTAGCTGATGGTTTCATCATTAACAACGAGGACATTTCACAGTTTGACAGCTCACACCGCCTCAATGTCACGATTCCATTATGATAAGTTGTTAAAAAGCAACGCACTTCTAATGAAAATATGTCTTTTATTTTGTATTATTATTGTAGAAAAATGTAGATAAATGTGGGGTTTACCATCCAGATGTTAAACTGGGGATGTTGCCGCCAACATAACAATCAGTTACACATTAACACCCCCTTTAGTTACCCATCCTAATTAAACAAATTACACAGCCATGATTAGCAGTGTCCAATCGAGCATTGCATACTAAGCAACAGCCAAGGCACTTGAAAGCAGTAAATGATCGGTGATGACTTTGAATGGAAAAAAACCTTTAAGCTGATTTTTCAGCAAGATATTGTTTGAAATGTGTCTATATGCATGTGTTTTATGTTACTGTCTCTCATATGCTTTAAAGGTTTGCTGCGTGGGAAGAACATTGACATTTTAATCGACACGAGTGGGATTTCTCATAAGGCAATCATAGCGTCTATGTCTGACTTATCCTGACGAACACAAATAAGAACAGGCCATACAGTACATGTATTTTCTGTCAGTTTCTATTACCCTTTGCTAAGTGAATACAGGAGGGTTTAAGAGGCTCTACGCTCAATTTAAGGCTCATATTTGTATGTTGTGCCTTTACTGTGACATGTTTACTTTAACGCTCTAAAAGGTCTTTATCTTTCTCATACTGTCACTTTTCACACTGTCTGGAACCAGAGCCCAGTGTGCTCTGATTGGTTAGCTGGCTGGCTCTGTTGTGATTGGTCAACCACTTAGAGATGTCCCGCCCTTTAGCATATCATAACATAATGATGTGACTATGTTTTACGGAAGTACAGTAAACTGACAATTGAGGTGTGTGTGGGAGCTGAAACAATTTCCATGCACCAAAAGCACACTACAGGAAAGGGAAACCCACAAAAGGCATTAGAGGGCCCCTTTAAAGAGCCTGTGACACGATTTTCCCCCATCATCCAAACCCATCAATTTGAGTAAATATTGTCCCCTTGAAAACCGTTACTGAACTGATTTTGGATATTTGTACTTTGATAACCATTAATCTGCCCTTCAATGTTGACCATTTCCTGGATCTTCTCGGGGATTCTTCAAGTCCCGCGAAATTATGGGTGACGTCAATGCGGGCACAGCGCTCCAGCTGCACCGTTCAGGATCCCAGCATCTGCATGTAAACACACGATGGCGCACACAGCAGCAAGCTCAGACAGCGATGACAGTTTAATTTTGAACGTGTCTGAGAGCTCATATGAGGCTGAAGGATCGGTTTATTTTGTATCTGTTAGAAGTTTAGGAATTAGGTGCGTCAATATGGGCGATCATACGATCATGTAGCCAGTGGTGGACTGGGACTAAAAATCAGCCCGGGACTCTCGACCGGCCCACTTCGGTACCACTAGTAAATTGTCAACGGGGGGAGTGGGGGATGTGCTAGTGACTTATCCGACCGGCCCACTTCGGTACCGGCCCATCGGGATTCGCCCCGATGGCCAGTCCGCCACTGCACCCAGCCCAGCCCACGTAAACTGTCAACGGGGGGAGCCTCGCTGCGGGGAAACGGTGGACCTAGTGTCCCGATCGGAGTGGGAATAATAATAATAATAATAATAATAATCCGTGCATTTTATCCATTAATTTCCCCAACATTGTGGTAAAAAAAAAACACGTTTAATCCATGTTGGTGTAGGCCTACTACTAAAACCAGTGGTGTAGTGGGGATGTTTTTACTGGGTGGTGGGTGGACGGGAGACACTATGGACGCGCTCGTGAACTGTCAACGGGGGGGGCTTGGGGACCTCTGTGTCGCCTGTCAGCGCAACTTACATGATGCCGTTTAGACAATATAATAATAAAGGGCGGTGCCGGCTGTCAGCGAACCGAACCAGCGGCCTTTCTGCGCGACTATCACTCAAATGCGGGACATAGTCTCAATGTGTGGGACGCGGGACAAATAATAAAAATGCTGTGTGTGCAGTCCCGCACAGTGCGGGACACCTGGTCACCCTACACACACAGTTCTGCCCCTCACACGCACACGCTTCAAATCAAGTTGCATAAATGCTTGAGCTACGTTTTTATTATAATTAATGTGAAATCTGCCTATTATGTTTTCGTCATTATTACAACAAACACACAATTGCAACTGATAACACTGGCAATGATTTTAGATGTATTAGACTATTAAAAAAAGAAATCATGCTTCAAATAAGCGGGGGTACGGCGTACCCCCGCGTCCAACGCCCACTACACCACTGAACTACAAAAAGCTAAGGTTTGTTTTCTCATCAGGAAATGCAGACCGGCTCAAACAAAAGATTTTTAAATCATCATCCTCACGATCATTTAATGTATCATATGTTCGCTGAATTGTCATGAAAGCACTAATAAATGTAGTTTCATCCACTTGAGTTTACAAAAATAATCGATTTGTTTTTATATCACATCCGACGGGAGGATATTCAGCAGCTCTCACTACCGATTTTTAATCCTAATTTAATCATCATCTTCACCACGATCATTTATGTTTATGTTCGCCGAATTGACATGAAAGCACTGACAAATATGAATATACTGTAATCAACTTCATTAAAACGTTATTAACGTGCCTAAACTCAGTAATTCACAATTTCTACGCATGACAACACACTTTCTCCGTGTTTGGCTCTCTCGCCGCACAGTGAAGCGTTCCCGCATTGACGTCACTTCCGGCTTCCCCCAAAACCTCAAAATGAGTCGAAGGAATTTTCCCGCGATGTTCGAAATTATTGATATTTATCGGAACGGTATCGCTTTTTCTTTTTTAAACTGACGGTTCGAGATTACTAGTAGCCCACTATTTCATTGCACAACAGTTGTTGGGTTCGTGTCACAGGCTCTTTAAGTCCTTCTACAGTAAGTTATCATGATCATAGCTTATCGAGATATTAAACTTGGAAACTGCCAAAAAAAATCTTTATTCCCTGTTTATCCTTGCTGTGAAAATTGTAATGGAAATAATCTCACAACTTGAGACAGATTCAGTGACACAGGGTTCCATTTAAATTATTGATGTGTCCGGCTAATCAATAACTGGGGGTGTCTTGAATAAATGTCCTCAGATGTGAAAAGAAAATGTATGCCATTATTACAATAAGAGCACTGAGGGAAAAAAAAGGCAATATCTCAAAGGCCTGCTCCAAAAGCAGCAATGTAGAAAGATAACATGAATCAAAGGGGCAATGATGATAAAATGGTCACATTTCATTTATCTTAGAGGAGAAACCCAGGCACACGTAGCGGCCAATTATATTAATTTAGAGTGTGAGAGACTCCTTTGGTGGAAGGCTGTCAGAAAATATGACACGAAAGATAAGTCCAGAAGAAGCCATGAGATAAAAGTAAACTCATGTTAGACTCTCAACGCAGGATATTTCATCTTAGAAGCGTTCGTGTGTGTGTGTGAGAGAGAGAATGTAATGCAAGGCGTCCCAAGACATCTCTCTGATTAAGGACTTTCAACTGACATGGTAATTAAATATGGAGGAGCAGAACAATTCCTATACGCACACATTCAGCTTTCCACTCATTTCAAGACTTCACGCTCTGGTTAGCTGCTATGGTTTAGCAGAAGAAGGTCATTTGCGGATGGTTAAACTGTCACACACACACACAAACTTATCGTGTTCACCCCCTCCTGTCCTCCTTCCAAAACCAGTATGAAACATTCCCCGCTCACCTCTACAAAGATGAAACATGGGATGATGGAGTAGCTGCGCAGGGTGTTGTTGGACGCCATCTTGTCTCCTGTGGGGAGACTTCTCCTCTCAGGATTCACGGCAGCTCACTCTGTAAAGATGGGAACATCAAGTGTCAGCGCTCATTATCTGATGATGATGATGATGAAATGCAGCGATGCCTTTTAAACTTGATAGGTGTAGGGTCCTCCAAATGGAGCATTGATGAGAACCACATTTGGTATTGACCTATCACCTCAAACGTAAAAGGTGGTTATTATCACAGAGTATCTCATTTTAAAGACTTGGTGACAGTTCATTGAACTTTCTAGCATCAGACCATACAGCTTTCTGAAGAGAAACAGAAAGAAAGAAAAAGAGAAAAATTCCCAATGATCCATCCATTCAGGTTTGATCCTGGTTCCCAGTGGCAGAAGGGACATGCACAAGGGCTCAAATTATTTTTCCTTGGCAAATACTAGTTAAGAGATTCACTCTGTATGTTGTGTCTTAGGCCTAACTTTGGGTCTCCCAGTTTGGCCTACAATACAAAAAAACATCATTGTCAAAAATGTATTCAAATATAAAAGAAAAATGGCCGTCATTATTACCAGGAGAAAAAGGTGAGGTTTTCCAATTGTTTGATTTTTGATTTGTTGTTGTCCTGAAACCTCACTGATTAAACTGCGCTTGAGAGTGTATTAGGCAAGCCAGTATCTGCTATAGTAATTATTGATTTATTGGTTTCAATTAACAAAGCTACGACCCCCACGCAGATATTTATCGGTCATAACTGAGGGGGCTTCAATAGCGCATAATTCCCCATTGAAGAGTAATGTAATGTTTAATTTGAACTCTCTCTCTCTCTTCCTACTGCGCAATTCTGACTAATGAAAGGCAGTGAGTGAAGAAACGGGAAGATTGCTGTAGAATCAGGAAGGATGTGTTTCGGATTCTATATTTAAATCATATTTTTCCTTTTACCAACTGTTTTACATAATACATATTACACCGGCTGCTAATTTTAACCAGTGGACAATACAACCAGGTTGAGTTGAATTTCAAGAGACCATATTTCTGCTTAAATACGGACAAATATTGCCACTTTTTTTTGCACACATTCTGTTGCCCAAAGGGTCACTGTTTTTGGTGCCACCTGTTGGTCATTCGTGGCAATGAATGGTTAGTATTTTCTGACTGGTTGGCTCAGATCATGTGACATGAGGTTAGGAGGTTATCAGGAAGAGAATGGACAGTTCTGGGACAAACAATTTCTCATGTGGCTTCTTGGGATAAGGACTCTCTTAATCTTGTACAACGTGTTGTGGCTTGGAAGCCTTTCCGGCCCGTCCACACTACAGCTTCGACAGCTTCAAAAACGGTTTCCAACGCGTCTGCCCATTCACTTTGAATGGGGTGACGTCACGTTGCCTCGCTTTTCGCCGAACTGAATTGTGGGTAGCAGAGCGGAGCTTTCCTGGCGTTTCAGGCTGCAAAAGTTGAGCAATGTTCAACTTTTGAAGCTTCTGAAGCTTTCGGTGGAAGCGTCAGCCAATCAAATCATATGCCAGTACAAGCTCTAGCCAATCAAACCGCTGCTTGTGTGTCAGGGGCGGGAGATTCATGTGATTGGTTGTTGGTCGAGCTTCAGACACGCCCGCCGGCAAGCTTTTTTTGAAGCTGTAATATGGACGGGCCGTTACTTGTGATTTTATCAACTTTTTCTCCGTTTAGAATTACTTTACATGTTAACTTGTGTTTGAAATAGATAGCAAACTCTTGTAGCATAAAAAGGAATAGCAGATCATTACCTTAAAATGAGTATCAGTGTGGAGATAAAAAATGATTATCCGAACAAAGCCGAACAAAGCTCAACAAAAATCGAGAACAACAAGTATTTCAGCCTTGAAGGCGATACCAGTGTAAACATTGAAATAATGTGGGTATTTCAATTTAAGATATGCGTATGCATCCCTACTTACCACATACAAAGTATTTACTGATATATTTTTGTTGGGTTTTTTGTTTTCTTTTTATCACCTGTCTGGTGAGTAACTGGCAAACAAACCAAGAAAGTCAAGAGAAGTCCAACTAGGAATCATCTCACAGTCAGCAATCACTACATAATAATATTTGCAGAACAATATTTGCTACCAATAGATCAGTCATACAGTAAGATAAAATGATGGATTGCCTTAAAAATGATTACAACACATTTCTACAACTCAATGTCTACTGTCCAACCGTCACAAATAATATACACATTCTCACATTCTCTTCGAAGGATTTCCCACTGGAAGGATGTGGCTATTTGATTGTGAGTGACTGACTCCAAAACCTGACATTTAATGCTGACGTTTAAACATCACCGAACCACACTCTATTGTGCGAATGAACTGTGAGAATCTTGAACTTCAAACACAAATTCCTTTTGCTTCTGAAGGCGCCACACGAAATTCCAGAAGGGAAAACAAGGGAAAACTCTCATCCTGATTTGAAACGCTGTCAATTGACGCAGTCAGACAGTGATGTTGACATGTCTAATCATTCCCTAAGTGCCTGTCCCATCACATTTAACACTCCATACAGGCTAATCAACACAACATTAGACGGAAGAAATCTGACCCAAAGCCTTTTTCTAGCACTCCACACAGAAAAGTCTGTAGAAGAAACAGAAATTAGCACCGGCTATCCTGCCACGTGAGTGCATTAGTGACTTCAGGTGATTCAGAATTAATGTTTAATCTTATTTACATTCAGAAGATCAGTGCAATGTTCTACAAACTCAGTGTCCTGTTCAAGGACACTTCAGCAGGGTGGAAAGTTTTAATGTTTTCCAGTTGATAGACTGTCTCTTGCCCACATTCAAAGTCTTGTAAAATTAATTTGCTCTTAGTGAATCCATAAAACACTACTATGGGACCTCCTTGTGATCTGTGTCGGTGCACATTAACAGTGTAATGGACCTTCTATGACGCAGGAACTTTTCTGTTTATGGCAGGTAGAGTGGCATCAACTACATGTTTGTTTGTAATGTGGTCCAATAGCCATATTTAAATGACGGTAATGATCAGATTTACACTGTGATACTTTCAGATATGTGCCGTTTTTTTTTATTTTCTCTACGACCAGCAACAGGAGTTAAATTATTCATCGTCTCTGCAGCTTGCTCCATTGAGCCATGCTTTTACCAAGCCAGTCAAATGGAAACAGTTCATGTTCTGCAGCCAACTTAGATTTCTCAGTGGGAAATTTGACTTTTTTCGTAATCTACAGCCTTGTTTCCTGCCAGTAATGAGCAAAAGATTATAACTGCAGAGAAAAACGACGAGTTGAGCTCAGTAGTTACAGTAGGTAACAATTAGATTAATATGATATGGTACAACAAACATAATGTGCAGCACAGCCTATGAATCATCATTATTTTCACCATGATTCAACCGCTTTACTAGAATCCATTGCTGATCATAGGAACTGTCAAGGAAGCAATATGAATGAACAAATGGAAAAATAAGTATATTTTCCGTTGATCATCTATAGATGACAGGAAACATTGGACGAAATAAAGGTGGAATGACGTGAAACCAAAAGGATTTTTCCAAATAACATGATTTTTAGATAGCTATCATAAATTAATTAGTTCTTTGTGAGCTCTTTGTAGTCACACTGAAGCGTCAAACGACATGTTGTCAGACACAGCAGTTGTATCTATCACTGCAGGTCCATGTAGCATGGTTAGACATTCACCAAAATAGAGTTACGGGTCAGTGCATGCAGTATAACTTCCTGTTTACAATTGTCTTTACCTCCACTAGGCATGTAATGCTGCATAATGGTGGTGTCAGAGGAATCACAACAAGTACTAAAACCACATAAAGACACCAAAGTTGGAAGAAGAGCTACCCAACTTGGGACATTGGAACCCCCGATAAGCATGTGAACGCGCCGCATGTTGGCCATGGCCAAATCTGCACTCTCCAAGTGCCACTCTACTGTAGTTTCATTGGTGATACAAGTAAAACATAACAGAGTATAGGACACCAAGCATATTTTTTAAGGGACAGATTGAACCAAACTACTAGTTTTTAAATTAACAACCAAACAGGTCTATTATAGTTCAATAACAAATTATAGTAATTACGAAAATAGGATAGAAGGAGAACTTGTTACTGTATTTGCTTAACATGATTGGCAAGTAGCATCCTGTTGATGTTCAAAGTGAATACAAGCCTTCAATCTTTAGAGACATCTGTTTAAACTGTGCGGTCTAGGCTTTATGTTGCCTCCTCTGTGGGCAATGCTGCAGAGGGAACAAAACAAATTACAATTTGACAGTTGGACTGAGAGCTTGATGATTTGACTAGGGGGCTCTGCGACAGATGATTCAAAACTGAAAAATGTAATGGGGCCGCACTCGATGTCAAAGAGTTTACACTGCATTGGCCCATTTCACACTCACAAGATCAGCCTCGCAGCTCTGAGTGGTCACAGCGCTGAACAATCGGATCTTGTCACAGTAACATAATTTCTCCCTTTTTCTCGCCTTGAGACATCTTCAAAAGATGCCTCCAAAGATCATAAACCAAGGAGCGTTTTTCTTCCAATTCCAAGGGCCGGTTAATTACAGTCGGATGAAAGGTGATCAGAACGTCTTTGCGCAGGCGAGTTTCTCATCAAAGAGCAGCCGGCAGGCCTTGTCAGGATTCATCAGTGTCTCCTTTCCGCTCAGCCAGCCTGTGATGACTTTGTCTAGACGCGACCGCTCTCCTCTCAGAGGCGGCACGAGCTGACTGTGATATATTAAGGCCGCAAATATCGTCTGATTGACCATCTCCTGCTCTCCAGCCGCGTTGTTCTGGCCGACTGTCTGAATGTGACTGAACTGTCAGGATGACAGAGTTGGTGATAGTGCTGGGGAGATATTACCTCCAGTTATTATGACTGACCGTTTGCCCTTCTCTCTTTCTGTACTCAGCGAAGGAGTATGAGTCTGACAAATGCCATAAGTTGGATATAAGAATATTAAGGTGTCCACCTAGGATGGGCTCATGAAACTTGACAAAATACTAATCTATATATCAAATTGCAGCCCTCTTAAACCATGTGACCTTG